CATCCATCCACTCATCCATCCGTCCATCCATCCATCCGTCCGTCCATCCATCCATCCATCCATCCGTCCGTCCATCCATCCATCCATCCGTCCGTCCATCCATCCATCCATCCATCCGTCCATCCCCTCCAGGGCCACAGCTGGGTTGGAGTCATAGGGCATGAAGTTGGGTACACCAGTCTATCGGAGGGTTAACACACTAATACATCTGAAGTGTCTGTATGGCAGGTTACATGATTTCATGTAGCTGATGACCACATTAGAGAAATGGAGCGTAAGCCTTGAGCTTCCCGTGTTTGACAATGCATGAATCTCTCAGCGCTGCCAATCCCTCCATTTAAATAATAAATACATACATTAGAAAAAAACTGTCCTGGCCCTATTTGCCTAGATGTTATGATAATGGAGTGTTGCTGACAGCCTTTCCAGCCACCCTGAGTTATGACCCAATGCAAACACAATACACTCACACACCAGATGGCCAGCCCTGACAGCACAGAGCCCATTAACACGCCATGGTGACTGGGTTTTTACGAGCTGTTAATGGACGTCAAACATCACTTAGCTGCAGGAGATGTTGCTTCTGCTGCTGGGGGAAGTGACGTGACAGAAAACATTTGACATAAAACACTCGACCACGCTACGATCAGGTGGTCTGAACATTAATGACTAACATGACGTTTCTGCTCAGTATAAACAGCAGAACTGCAGAACACTTAGAACCAAACGTCCCATTGTACAGTAAGCTGTCAGCGTAAAGTCTCATCTTTGAATTGAACTGATTAGTGTCTTGAGATGTTTTGACACCGTTCTTTTATTCATGACTCCAAATCAGTTTTACCTAATATAAACCAAACTGAATGAGGCATCCATTATGAAACCGCCCAAGGAGCAAGTTATGAACCTGAGCTATCGAGAAACGGGGGATTAATGGATTGGATTTATACAGCGCTTTCAAGGCACCCAAAGTGCTTTACAATACCACTATTCATTCACTCTCACATTCACACACTGGTGGAGGCAGCTACAGTTGTAGCCACAGCTGCCCTGGGGCAGACTGA